AGGGAATACTGCCATGCAAGCCTGTCTGTGTCCTTTGAATGCGTTTGGAAGGATGATACTAGAATGATTTGCTGGAATTGTGTAAAAAACCTAAACAAAGGGTTATTTTAAAGTACTGACTGCATATTGGCAATGACAGGGAATTTTTACTTCCATTTTCCTTTCTTACTGTGCTGCTATCAACCAGGACCTTCATTATCATACTGGACAAGCCTTCAGCTGTTTGAGGGGTGGAAAGGGGGATATAAGTACAATGCAAGTGGCTCCAGCCATGGCTTTTATCCCTGCACTGTTGGTGACCATGCATGGACCAGTGCAGCATCCATGGGCTTACAGGTGCCCTACAACTGCATCCTGCTCTCAGATCAGGTGAAATGGCATATCCACCATCACTCGTGCAGATATCGCCAACTTCCCATGCCTCTTGATGGAATAAAGCCTTGCATTACTCCTAGAGATGCTGGCCTAATTCTTAATTACACTGTCTTGTGTTAGCTTTGCCAAACTCAACAGTTGTGCCAATGATAGATCTCTCTCAAAAATGGAAATAGTTTCTGTTGTGTTTTATTATTCAAGAAAATGAGTGGACCCCTAAGAATTCCCTGCATTTCCCGCTGCGGGATATAACTTCAGTCATTTCACCACTCCTAAGAGAAACTAACTCCCTACTGAGTTATTCATGGCCCCTTCTCAGCCAGGCTGATGTACATCTGATTGCTTCCTGAGTCTGCTGTGAGGGATAAATCAAGTTTCTCCCTCCGCGCTGAGTGCTGGCACATCACAGAAGTTCTCTGGGACTCTACAAAGTACGAAAAAAATCAGCAGAAGCCTGAATCTATCCCACATCCCAGATAAACCACCCAGCTCTTTAGCTCTCAAACCAACTCGCCTCATTGTACCTCTGAGCCCTGATGCTCTTCTTTATTCTGCCTCCTAAAACTAATTTCTTCCATCCTACCCATACAAAATAAATGGTGATCAGCCAGGATATAGCACTCTGTGCTAGGTCTCTGTCTGATCGCATCACTCTGTCCCTGGGGCTTTCTCGCTCTTCCCTTCTTACTGCTCTGGTGTACTGGGTCATAGAATCATAGAATCATTCAGGCTGGAAGGGACCTTTAGAGGTCATCTAGTCCAACCCCTCTGCAGTGAGCAGGGACATCTCCAACTAGATAAGGTTGCTCAGAGCCCCATCCAGCCTGACCTTGAATGCCTCCAGGGATGGGGCTTCCACCACCTCTCTGGGCAACCTGGTCCAATGCTTCACCACCCTCATTGTAAAAAATTTTTTCCTTATGTCAAGTCTAAATCTACCCTCTTTTAGTTTAAAACCGTTACCCCTTGTCCTGTCACAGCAGACCCTGCTAAAAAGTCTGTCCCCATCTCTCATATAGACCCCCTTCAGGTATTGGAAGGCCGCAATGAGGTCACCTCAAAACCTCCTCTTCTCCAGGCTGAACAACCCCAACTCTCTCAGCCTGTCTTCATAGGAGAGGTGCTCCAGCCCTCGGATCATTTTCGTTGCCCTCCTCTGGACCTTCTCCAGCAGGTCCATGACTCTCCTGTGCTGAGGGCTCCAGAGCTGCAATACTCCAGGTGGGGTCTCACCAGAGTGGAGTAGAGGGGCAGGATTACCTCCCTCGACCTGCTGGCCACACTTCTCTTGATGCAGCCCAGGATGCGGTTGGCCGCCTGAGCTGCGAGTGCGCATTGCTGACTCATGTCTAGCCTGTCATCCACCATGTCTGTGGTAAATTTACATTGTAAATTGTAAATAGTTGGGGCTGGTATCCAGCATCTCTCTGAATCACCTGGTGTGCTCTGGGGTGGAGTAAAACACTTGGGAGCAAAAGGAACTGGGGACCAGCTTGCCTAGCCACTAAGCAGGGCTGATAGGAGTAAAACGTTTGTCCTTAACTGTGAAGGTATCTTACGGAGGGGTCACAGCCGGAGCATTGCAGCAGACAGTCCAGTGCTGCATCGAGATTGAACCCTCCAGGGTATTGATCCACCTGCTACTACTTTTGCTTTTATAGGATTCCTTTGATACGCAGTGGCTTACAAAATGCATGAGGTTTGAAGGACATCAACACTGAGAGGTTCTAAGCCAGATGAATCCCTTCTCTGTGAATTTGCAGGTACCTTGTAGGTGCTGGGTGAAGGAAGAGAGCTTTTCCACGTCCTCCTCAAAGCAGGGAGTCCTGAAGGACAATCTTGAGTGATGGTCATACTCAAGAAGCAAGAAAACTGGTGTTAAGGAAGGTGGAAAGCACTGGTGGATGAAGGGGATAAAAGTTAGAGGTGGAAAAGAGGGGAGAGAGAGGGAAAGACTATGGCCAAGCCTTGGGTCTGAAAGGCAAAGTTCACGCTGAGAGTGACCTTGTTCAAAATGCTGATGGTGGGTTTGGGGAGGCAACTCCGACAGAAAGCTCTGACGGACAGACAGAAGTCTGCCAGCTTCTGCCTGGCCCTGCCCCAGGAGGTACGAAAGGAGCCTTGCCAGTCTTTCAGGGCTTCAGAGGCAGAACCCATCCAAAAAATTCGGAGCTCTTTTGAATGTTTTCATGAAAATACAATGATGTTAATGTGTTTGGGGCTGGGAAATCAAAGTCTGTGCTTTTTCAGAGAGACAGACACAAGTACAAGCCTAGCCAGGGGAAAACGCAGGCTCAAATTCCTTCTGCACTTTGATTTGAGCCAATGTGGGATGTATAGGTTGAGCGTAGCCAGTAGGTCTTTACCCCAGGACTGGCTCTGGAGGTGGCCCCGTGCAGCCACGATCCAGATATCTCCACATAGCCCTTCACCTTTGCTTCGGAGGAAATGGAGACTCCGTGTCTGCTCCCATGGAGTGAGGACCTGCTGTGGCACCTCTACGTAGCTGCAGGGCATGTCCCAAAACTGGCAGGATCCTCTGCAGCAGCAGGAAAGGTCCATCACACCAGGTACCCAAGAGAAATAATAGAGTATCCCTGCAGTCCCATGAGACATAGCCAGAGATAAGCAGATGCTCTGCATGGAAAATGGGCTTTTTGGATTAAATTATGTCTTTGGTACCTTTCTGTCCCTTGTAGGCTCTTTTTAGACCCTCCGGAGGATCCCAGCATGTTTGGGGTTCCACCAAGGCTTATTTTTACATCACTTGTTCCACTTGAGTCAAAATTGCTTTGCAGCAGCATCTTAGCCCCTAGTTTTTCAAAAGTTAATATCTGAATTACTGCCACAGATCTAGACCAGTGGGGCTAAAAGTGACCTGCCTACATCGATCTTAGCAGCCTAAAGCAGAGGCAGCCAGGCTGGGCTAGAGCTGAAAACTGCCCCTTCGATCTACCTGGTTGGAATCGAGGAAAGCTGGTGTGCTGCAGATGGGTTGGGGGTTTCCACGGGCCACAGCTTGCATGCTCTGCACAGGCAGACTCCCCTCTGCTCCAGCGCACAGAGGACAGAGACAAAAACACCAAGGAATAAATCCAATTGTGTTAGCCCTGTGACTCAGAAAAGCAGGCAAATTTGGATAAAATCTTTTATGGGCTCTACTGAAACAACTGGAAAAGCAGACACAACCTCTGGCTCGAGGTCCTGCTCCCAGGCTGCACCCAAAGTCTATCGCAGCCACAACGATACTGCTGCTACCGTGAAAACAGCCCTCCTCTGTTTGCGGTGATAAAGAAATGACACTAAAAGTGGGGGGGAACCTCATAGTTTTACAAATTTTCCAAACCTACATGCAGCGTGTGCCGGCTCTGCAGAGGGCAGCGGCTCATTGCAGCTGCAGAGGATGCTGCGGCCGCATCCAGCAGCCGTGCAGGGGTCTGCATTCAGCTAAAAACCTGTGTGTAGCTATAGGAACCCCTTTCCCTATGGCTATACCATCATCCCGGGGCTAACTCCTGCTGTGCCACACTGTCCCAGTGCAAGTTTGGGACTGAAGAGTGGATAATGTGAATTTTCTGTGGTTCCTTTTTCCCCTACGGGCTCCCGAAATAGGTTAGAGGAGTAGAGGCTTTGTATAAAAGGATAATTATTCACAGGAAAGTGAATTCTCATGAAACATGTACGGTGTTAGGAAGTAAGAAAGGTGCTTTAACCAAAATAACCATGTGTTTTCTGTGAGGCTTTGTTAAGGGTAAAAGGAAGGGCACAGCAGAGCGTAGAGGGCACCGGGCACCGGCCCTTTCCCAGGTGGATTGGAGGGCTGGGGGGAGAGTTCAACCTCCCATCCCAAGGGTGAAGGGGATGCTTTTGTGGTGCTTGGAGGGGAAAAAAGGATTTATGTGTTTTTAGGCAGTGATGTATTCATTCAGGTTTTCATAAGCTTAGTTATTATGTGTGCTCCTTAAAGAGAAGTGTCTTTGTCAAACCCGTATATTGAACTTTCACTGTTCTTTAAAAAAAGTATGCTGTGACAATATGCTGTTTCCTTGTGCTTCCCAGCCCGGTATTTGTGAAAAGTGGGGGGGTTTAACTCATTTCTCGAGCTAACCCAGTAGCTGCCTGTTGGATTAAAGGACAGTTCTTCAATCTTTTTATTTCAGCCTGGATTGCAAAGGGCTTTTTGTCCACATAACACCCCCCACCCCACTCTTAGAGAGAGCAGCACCTCGAAGATGAGATCAGATACATGGGCTGGAAATGAGGTGGTTAACCTAGTTTTTGAAATTGCCAGTGTTTTTAAATTGTTTGAGACCTCCTATGTATGTTTTAAGGCTCCTTCTGGATTCAGAGGCAGGGGGGTGACACAGATTGGGAGAGGCAGAATGAAAGAGGGGAGCGGGTTTGTACACCAGCTCAGAGCCCCACTCTTCAGCCCAAGGCAGAAATCTTTGTGTTTCAGTGAATATTCTGCAGACAAAAAGCAAGTGAGGGATTTTGGCCTATAAAAGGGAAAAAAACCCATATCTTTTCTTTTGACCAGAATTTCTTTTTACCAATGTAGCCAAAGTTACAAGCCCGAGTAGTGAGCAGCTGAGCAGGCGGCAATTGAATAGACAGTCCATCCTCTAACACGCAAATTTTATTGAGTACATGCACTACTAGGCAAAGCAAAGGCATGATGTCCAGGCTCCGAAAACAAGATCTCACCAATCCGTTGGCCAGACGTCCTGGGAGTCTCGGGAACCTGGAGATAGTTGCTGCAAAGGTCCATGTAGATTCAGCTCCTTTAAGTCCCAGGTGATCACAGGATCTTTTGTTCTGCTCATCTTTTATCATCTTTCCAAGTCTTTGAGGCTGCTAACAGCTCTGCCACCTTCAGTTGGTGCTTTTCCACGCTCATGCATTATGTTCCCTTCCTCTTTCCTTCAAAGACACTGTCCTTGGTTTTCCTTAGTCCCTTCTCCTCTGCTTAAGGAGTCTTAAATCGCACAAGAGCAGCTTCTTCACATTAGCATTTAGCATTAGATGGGAGAGTCAAAGAGAAGTTACATATGCTAACTCGTGCTTTTTTACTGTGAGGGTGATCAAACATTGAAACAGGTTTGCCCAGGGAAGTTGTGGAGTCTCCATCTGTGGAGATAGTCAAAACCCAGCTGGACACAGTCCTGGGCAATCTGCTCTAGGTGACCTTGCTTGAGCAGGGGGGCTTGGACTAGATCATCTCAGGAGGTCCCTTCCAACCTCAACCATTCTGTGATTCATGCCAGCCGCAGGCTGCTTGGCCTGCCCTCCCCTCCCGGATGACCCTCTTCTAACAGAGGAGGCCATCCCTCACATCAAGGTCTGGTATGGCGTGTGTCCCCACCGCTCAACGCCTACTGGGTTGCAGCCAACAGCGGAGCTAAAAGTTCTTCTTGGTGGCAAACACAGAGGCCAACCCAGTCTTGCCCTTGACTATGGTAGGAGGCGCTTGGCCAGCCCCAGTCCTTTCACCTGGTTGTCAATGCAGAGCTTCACCTGCCTCATCCAGTAACAAGTCGCTACCATGGCAAAGCACACACAGATTTGCATTAGCAGTATCACTACAATGGGGTGCAGCAGCGTGTTGAAGATGCCGGTGGCTGTGGGGGACCAACCGAAGAAAACTTCCCACCAGTGATGTTCTCCCACCCCCTTAATCCGTTCCATTACCTGTTTTATAACATTACCATCATGATGTACAGTTATTAGGATCTTTTTAGCTTCTGCCTTAGCATTTTCTAACAGCTGCTGTAAAGTTGCATGCTCTAACATTTCTTTTACAAGAGACAAATCCATACCGATGGGGGTCGGGGTTATACTACGATACAAGGTGTAGTTTCTGATTAGCAACTGGCTAGTAAACACAGGTGGCTTATACACAAAATCGCAGCCTCTAATAATAGCTACATTGCAAGCACACATATTGGAGTCGTTAAACACGGTCTGATTATAAACTTCGTTAATTTGCACGTATTTACACATTGTTCTGAAACACACGCACCCTTTCCCAGCACGGTTTTATTACTGCTCTGGGGATTGATCTCAAAATGACACACCCCTTCTTTGGTGTCGAAGCAAACGTCACTTGCCTTAAGGGCATCATCTTCGCATATGAATCCCAGCCCCCTTTCCAAAATGCAGGCTTCCAAATCTACCGATTGCCATTTCCCATCAGACAGCCTCGCCCACATACGGTGGTCCAGGGGGTAAACCACGGACCCGTTTGTGTTAACCCCCAGGGCCACGACGGGGTAGACCTTTTCGATGCGAGCCTCTGCCACCGTCAGGACGTGGGCGATGACTGCGTTGAGGACCTGGTCATGGGTGAAGTTGACGAGCCTCCACCAGGCTTGGAGCTGCTGCTCCTTCTCTGTGGCCGCGTCCCACACGATCTTCCGGATCTCAGTGGGGAGGACGCCATTGTCACCATCTCTCAGGATACCTGCAACGACACTCTGCACCCACATCTGGGCCTGGATGCAACTAAGAGCAAGGGAGACGTTATTTTGTTCGATGCCCAGTGCTCGCAACAGCATCTGGTGGTCTTTCTCACTTATTTGTTCCCAGGTGGGCAATACCTCTGACACCAGCCACTGTCCCATCCCAAGGCTGGCCAGAGATGAATTCAGGGGGTTGAGGAGGCCGTGCACGCCCGAGGTGACAGCCTCCAACTTGTTGGCCAAGACCTCAACGTTCATACTGTTGAGGACGCCCAGACCGGCACCCCCTCCTCCCAGTGCCGTGGCCAGCAGATCTCTTCTGGCCCGGCTCCTCTGGATGGAGCGGCTGTGGAGCCATGCCAGCCAGCCGGTGTGGAGGGTGGATAGAAAGGGGGTACAGTGCGGTCTGACAGATGAAATATTAACAGTGGACAGAGACAACACCACCTTCTTCAATGATCGGACAGGCCCGGTCAACAGCTCTTGGATGTGATTTTGCTTGACTACATAAGGGCCTATTTTGGAAACAAAAGGACGCAAGACAGCAATGATGGTAAACTCTTTTTTAAATCCTTCGGGGCCTCCTATCCACCACTTTCCTCCAAGCTCGGGGGACATTTCTACGCTCAGATTTCCTTGACACCACACCTGGAGGTTTATGACCAGGTGTGGGCAGCGTCCATAATCCTGATTATACCATGAAGCCTCCGTGCCTAATTCAGATCTATTAAGCGTTTTGCTCTCACGGAGGCAGTTTACTGGCACAACCCACTTGCGACTGTTAGGGGCAGCAACAGTCACAGTGGTGCCATCGATTTGCATCGGGTCGGTTATACTTTCTTGGGAGTATTTAATTTCCAATTTTACCTGGTTGCCAACTTCAGCATGTTGGGCTGCATGCCAGGCCAAAAAATGGCATTTTGAGATCTTAACGGCAGCAAAGGAGTGTGCCGTGGTGCTAATCTTGAATTTAAAGGACAGCCCCACGCTGTTGTGTGCCCAGAGGCAGACCACAAAGACTGGCTGGACCAAAGTAAAATTGCACCAACAGTCCAATTTTTCCACAGCACAGTTTTTTTTCTGATTTTTCTTAGTTTTTACTTCAGTTACGGAGATTTGAGTTACTCGCTGGTGAGTGGATCCATTAATTACCCTGCACCCTACCTTTATTTCTTGTCCCACCTTCCCCAGCAGTTGTGGAAGTCTGTTTGTGCTATCCCAGCTCCACTCATTTTCCAAGTACACCTCCGTCCCGTGCATAACTACCGTTGACAAATTTAAGCCTTTGTTAGAATTTAATCCCATGCTTCCTGTATATTTTATGTGAGCTTGAGACCAGGGCCAATCGGTCCCAATTTTTGTATACCTCCTAACCCTGTGCTGGGCTGTGGCCCATGTGTCAGGGTGCCTTTCTAAGTGGGAACGACTGACTTTTTGTCTAAGATGCTGATGGATTGGTTGGGCATGTTGGGTGGTCAGCACTATGCACATACCAGAAAGCAAAGCAAATCCTGCAACCAGAAATTTGAAAGCATTTTCCCCGCAGCGCAAACAGGGCTGGTGATGCCACGAAGTTCGCCCTTCCCGCCGGTCACAATCGCCTTCCATTTTCCTTTATCTGCAAAACATAAGCAAGGCGGGCTCTCCAGCCCCGTTAATTTCCCTTCCATGCTTTTAATTGTGAAGAATGGAGCCATTTTTCCTGCCTTTTCACCCCCTTTCTGATTTCTACCTGGTACAAGGAGGGGCTGGCCTTGTTCACAACCCTAACGGGCCCCATCCATTGGGGTCCCAACACCTGGTTCTTCTCCAGAACCACCCGATACATTACCAGGTCCCCTACATTCCATTCCATGGGGTGCAGCAGCGCTCCCAGCTGCTTATCCATCTTGGGGATGTTGGTCTCCTGCACCGAGGCGAGCTGGTGGTACGTAGCCAACACCGTCCTCAGCATGTCCTGGACCCACCTGTCTGTCAGCAGGCGGGGCTGCAGTTCGTCCGGCGGCTCCCCTCTTTGCCACCAGTGTCCCAGCAGCTTCAGGTCTCTTGCAGGAGGCAGCTTTTGGGGAGAAGGTGCTTGAGATGATGCCATGGCTCCCCGTAACGCCAGCAGGACCAGTGGGAGCTTCTGATCCCAGTCTTTCCTTTGGTGGTTCACAAGCTTCCTCAGCGCCGTCTTCAGCAATTGATTGGGTCCCTCCGTCGAGCCAGGCTTCTGGAAATGCCCCATGATGTGAAGCTTTTGCTTGATGCCCAGGGCCTGGCACACCCCTTTCGTGACTTCTCCGATGAAGCGTTGGCCATGGTCCGAGTTGATCTCCTTTGGGACCCCCCACCGTGAGAAGATGTGCTCTACCAGGATCTTTGCGGTTCCACTGGCCGTGTTGTTTCGAGTCGGAAATGCTTCTACCCACTTGGTGAAGCTATCGCTGATCACTAGGCAATACCTGTTGCCTTGGGCTGTCTGGGGCAAAGGGCCAATAAACTCCATCTGCAACTTGCTCCACGGCCCAGAAATCCTCTGGTGGCCCAGGAAGGCTTTGGCCGTTTTGGCGTCAGGATTGTTGGCTGCGCACGTCAGGCAGTTGCTGACATACCTCTCCACGTCCTCTCTCATTTCGGGCCACCACCCCGCACCCTGCAGCCTCACCATGGTCTTGTCTGTCCCCAAATGCCCCTGCTCATGAGCCAGGGCCACCAGCTCTGTCCGGACGAGTTCAGGCACCACCCAGACTGCAAAGTCCGCTCCCTCCCTCCGCGCCAGGACCAGCCCCGAGACGTCCTTCCACACCTTGCACCCTTTGTACTCCCTGCCCTGCGCTAAGTCCCGGATGCTGGGGTCTTGCGCCTGCAAGCCCAGCAGGTCCACGCTCTCCCAGTGTCTGCTGGGAGCCACCGACACGGGGACATTCGCCAAGGCCTTGCTGGCCTTCCACATCAGCCCTTCCTTCGCACCTTGCTTGGCTTTGGCATCTGCCTCTTTATTCCACTTGGCTTCCTCCGTTCCCTTCTTGTGGGCCTTGACCTTAATGATCTGGGCCGGGCACGCTCTCTGCTCCGCCAGCCTCGCGAGGTACAGCAGTTTCTTGGCATAGGTGATGGGCTTGCCATCGGCAGACTGCATGTCCCTCTCCCTCCAGAGCGGCAGCCACCCAGCACCACCCAACCCGAGTCTGAAAATATAGCCAGCGGCTGGTCGGCCGGCGTGTTTTCCAGGGCGGCCGTCACGGCCACCACCTCGGCAGCCTGGATGGAGTGTGGCAGGCACTTCCCCTTCACCACCTCCCTGGTGCCCCAGTTGACAGCGGCATAGCCCGTGTAGGGCACCCCTTCCTCGTGGTAGTTGGACCCGTCTACGAACCACACAACATAACCTCTCTCCTTGGCCTCCTCCAGGCTGACGCTGCTCTCAAACAGGGGTGCCCGCCACGGCTTGGGCTCAGCCAGGGGACCCCCTGGCTCTTCCTCGTTCCTCTCTCCACTGATTACCACTGCATAGGCACCAGGAGAGGGGTCCGCAGGGACCTCCTTGTCGGTAAACGCCAATGCCCAGTTGGCCATCCTGGGGCAGTGCAGGGGACCCTCGTCCCCCTTCACCGACAAGAGGTACCTCACCGGAGCATGGGAGGTCCTCAGCAGCACCGGGGCCAACCCCACCAGGTACTCCCAGTGCTGCAGGGCCCAGGTCAAGGCTAAAACCTCCCTCTCGTAGTCAGTGAACTGTTGCTCAGCCAGCGTCAGGAGGCGCGAGGCGTGGGCAACAGGGAGGAGATGGGCACCATGCTGCTGGCCCAAGGTGGCCCGCAGCCCCCTCCCCGTGCTGGCCAGCTGCAGGATGTAGGGTCTGTCCCCCCGGGGATGTGCCAGCATGGGGGCTTGTGCCACACTCTCCTTTAAGGTCTTCACTGCTTCATCCTGCTCTGGCCCCCATTTCCAGGGGGTGTCCTTCTTCAGGAGGTGGCAGAGGGGGGCAGCTTTCTCTGCGTAGCCCTCAACGAACTCCCGAGAGAACCTCAGGAGAGCCAGGAAGGACCTCAGGGTGGTAATGTCGGCCGGCGCCGACACCTTCTGTATTAGCTCGACCCTCTGCTTCTCCAGTGAACGCCCTTCCTCCCCCAGGGTCACCCCTAGATAGGAGACCTCCTTCCAGCACAGCTGGGCCTTCATGGGGCTGATCCTGAAGCCTGTCTTCTGGACAGCCTCCAGCACCTCTGCCAACACCTCCAGGTTCTCCTCCTTCGTCCGGGTGTGGATGAGGACATCACCGGCACAGGACAGCACACTCTCCCGGTGGCCGAGCTTCTCCCACATCCTCACCACATGCGCGTGGCAGATGGCGGGGGCGTTGTGGAAGCCCGGGGGGACTCTGGTGAAGGCAAATTGCTGTCCTCGAAGCGTGAAGGCAAATTTGTGCCAGGAGTCGGGATGCAAGGGGATGGCAAAGGACGGACTGGTCAGGCTGAGCACCGAGAACCACTGGGATCCTCGGGAGACGGCTGCCATGATGTCAGGGTATATGGCCACCATGGAGGTCCGCAGCGGGGTGACACGGTTCAGGGCGCTGAAGTCAACTGTCAGCCTCCACGTTTTCCCATCAGCTTTCCGCAAGGGCCACACCGGGGCATTGCTGAAGCTCTGCTGCTCCACCAGCACCCCCTGCTCCAGCAAGGTTTTGACTGTGTGCCACAAGCTGTCCGCAGCCTCAGCCGGGTACGAGGGCTGAGGCTGAGGAGGGGGATCCAGCCCTTTGACTACCACAACAGCATCAATCTGCCCGCAGTCCAGCTTGTTCCTTGCCCAGACCTGAGGGAACTGCTCCGTGACCCGTTTCACCCGGGGCTCCCACTCAGGGTGGACCAGGAGCTCGGGGGCTTTCACCGCCATCACCCTGTGACTCGCCGGGATGACAGGCGCATCACTTTGGGGGCAGTGTAACAGCACTTGGTTTGCCAGGTCCACCACCACCCCCATCTTTGTCAGCGCAGAGATAGCTAAAATTCCCGGCTTTCCCTTCATTTCCATTTTCCCAAATTTTTCAGACCCTTTGACGGTCCCAATTTCAAAGGGTATGGACCCTGTGAAAGGCACTGAGGATTTTTGGCCGTTTTGCCCTGTCAATTCAATAATTTCACAAGTTTGGAAAAGCCTGGCTTCGCCAGGGGCCATATTCAGAATTGAATAAGAGGCACCAGTATCAATTAACATCACTTGTCCAAGCACCCCTCCTCCAATAGTTGTATCAACTATCAGGCGCCCCCATGAATCGGTCTTAATCGGTGCCACAAAAAGGGGCGATGCGGGTGCCTGGCAGCCCTATTGCTGAGCCTTAGACCCCGGGTCAATCGGGTTGGAGCTGCTGTGCTTTTTGGCCTCGTGCAGGAAAAAAAAAGCTCGGCGTCCGGCAAACCATCGATATCCTCCTGCTTCTCATATTTTATCAAGCGCTTCCTCAGCTCAGCCCGCCAAGGGTTGGACTTCTGAAACCTCAGCCCTTGCTGGTTCTCCTTCCCTGAACCGCCCTTGCTGTCGGGATCTTTTCGATTATCTCCTTGCATTTTTCTCATCCCCGTATTTTGAAAGGACATGGCCGAGGTTTTCCCTTTCTTCCCCCCCAGCATGTACCCCGGGAATGCCTGCTTTTGCAGCTCAAAATTCTGGGTCAGGATCTGCTCTAGCTCTGATAGCGGCTTTCTGGCCGCATCCCCACCAGCTATCACCCG